CCCCCCCCACCCTCTCCCCCAGTCGGAGAACCGGCGCAGACAGTCTGTGGACCGCGCGCTGCACGACGCGGAGGCCAAACTCCGGGAGCTCAATCGTCGAGACGAGACCACCGCCGCAACGGGCGACGATTTCCGTGGGCTGGCGACAACGGCGGCCGCGTCGGTGGCTGCGGAGGAGAATGACGCCGTTGTCGTGGAACTCCGGGGACAGGTGTCGAGGGCCAGGGAGCGGGCGGAGATCCTGGAGGAGCGCCTCGACGAGACGGCCAGGGTGAACCGCCGCCTGGAGAGGGAGGTGGCCGAGGCCGTGGAGATAGGGGTGAGCAGGCGATGCCGGTTCCGTCGAAGGCGTAACGATCCGTGTTGTTTGTTGTGTATACGTAGTTTGAGAATCACGGTGGGTGTCGGCATCCTTTTTTTTTTGGCGAGGGCGCGCATTGTGTAGCCGGGGTGCTGCAGCTTGCTGCCGGTCGGCAGGGGAGAGACGAGATAATCTCGGTTTTGGTGCTTGGAGGAAGGTTTTCGACGCCTGGGATGGTTGTTTTTGCCACTGCTACTGCCGGCCTGCAGTCTTTTGCGCCCCCTGCTCTCCGTCTACGACGAGGCCCGTCCATCAGTTTGTTGATCCGATCGAGAACCACTCGAAACCTTGACCTTTCGCCAGCCAGAGCCACAGAGCGTGCGCCTATCGTGAGCGACCCCTCTTAAGTTTTACGAAAAGACGCGGGTGGCCAACGTTTGAGATTGCAGTTGGTCGTACCGACATGGGGCTTCGAAGCCATTCCGATGCATCAAAGGATGGCTGTTGCACACTCCCCGAGCGTGTGGATTGGCAATAAATCAACGCTGTCCTATCCTGTCGCTACCAACGATGCAGCAACACCAAGTACACGGGTTTTGAAATTCTTACAGGTAGGCAACATTGCGACTCGCGACGGAGTCAAACGTAGCCTTCTCTCTCAACCCAAGCAATCATGTCGGACGCGTTCTCCAACAGAGTCCGAATATAGACATGGAAAATTACTTGTAAACCCCATTGTGTTTGCGACCCCCCCCCCTTCCCCAAGGCCCGCGCGGAGGCCGAACTAGGAGCAGCTCTGGCGGGAGAGCGCCTGCGGCGCGACGGGGAGCTTACCGAGATAAAGTCCGTGGTGGACGAGATGATGACTCTCGACCCTTCCGCGAGCGGAGGAGGCGTCGCCGGCATCTCCGGAGATCTGTTCAGCCCTCCCCGGGGCGGACAACGCGGCGGTGGCCTTGTCGTCGATCGGAGGAGCAGCGGAAGGGGCAGCGGCGGTGCCGGGCACAGCGGAAACCGCGGGTACTACAACACCAGCTCCAGGACCCTGAGGACAGAGGAAGGGTCGGCGAACGACACGGCAGCTCTGCCGTACCCCGGTGTCGTGGTCGAACCGGGGTGGAGCTCTGCCCTGACCACCACCACCAACGACGGCGGCGTGGCGGCGGCTACCGCCCGGCTGGCCGAGGCCTGGTCTCTCCTCGAGTCGTCGGAGGCTGCAAGGAGGCGTCTCTCCGAGGAGGTCAAGGCGTGGGCGATCAGGACGGCCGGCCTGGAGGAGGCCCTCGCGGCAGCGGAGGCCACCGCGGAGGCGAGGGCGAGGGAGGCCAGGCTGCTGGCGGCTAGCTTGCAGGACGCGAGAGACGGGCTGGCCGTCGAGGAGGAAGCCCGCAGGGAGGCCGAGGGCCGTGCCGACGCGTTGAGGTGGACGAACTGCTGTGCAGGCTTGGCTTGTGCCTTTCGTTCCGTGGGTGTGCATGAGCATAAAGTGACCTTTCATGGCGTGTCCTCCCCCAGAACAGGAGCACACATAGGGGTATAACCACCGAAAGTATTCTTTTTCAACGTTTTTGTGTCTCCAGTTCAAATCAGCGCTCACAGAATTTCTGCCGTTTACTCCAACCCGTGGTGGCGCTGAAGGGTTCCTCTCTACCCTCCCAGCACACGAACGCAAGCAAGAGGATTACTCTCTCTGCAAGAAAAGCTGGCTTACGCCAGGATTCGAACCCCTGGCGAATAAGAAGGTTTTCGAGGATACCAACAAGACTACCCGGCGACCGTAACCGCATGCATGAAAAAAACAACAGGATCGGGAAAGGACTATGTTTATGCATGTATGGCGTGTGTGGGGGGGGGGGGGGAGGGCTCCGCCCCGCCCGAAAAAGAAGCAATTCACGGAGCTCTATGCGTCCGCCTCTTTTCGTTCCTCTCGTGCCCTCATCCGCAACAACGTGTCCTGGCGTTCGGTGTTTTCTTGTACCGCTCCTCAAGGAACATGATTCAGGCGGGAGGCGGGAGCGGAGGCGGCGTGTCCCCCGCCGGTGGCGGAGGTGGCGGTGACGTTGCGAGGAACTTGGCTGGACAGGTGAAGGCGTTGCGATCTCGGGTGGAAGAGCTGCTGGAACGAGCTAGGGACGCCGAGGTAAGGCGTTTTTTTCGCGTTTTTTCTCACCGGGCTGCTACATAAAGAATGGGAGCTGAAAACCTTCCGGGAAAATTCCAGGCTCAATATATGCCGTGTAGTTGATGTTTTGAAAACTTGTTCCATCGAATACTGTTTGAAAGACCATGTGCTCTGTTCACAACCAACCTTGCACTCAAACCGACCACGAAGCACTGTATACTTCAGTCGTTGTTGCCTTATCCTACAGAGAAAATACAAGCCTTGGGCAGGACTACAGTAATTCCCAGTAATTTTGATGCTCACTCTCCTTCTCCCCCTGCGATGTTCGTGTGAACTACTCCTTCGTCTTCTTCTGGCAGGTGCGCGAGGTACTCGAGAAGCGAGGACGCAAGGCAGCCCAGAGAGCCCTCCGAGAGTTAACCTCCAGCAACGGCAACCACGACAGCAGCGTTCACACCAGCCGCATGGCCGCCGCCGCCGACACCACCATCAGCACCACCGCCTCCAGCCATGGCCGCGGGGGCGGCGGCGGAAAGAGACGGGCGTTCAACAACGCTTCCACGGCAGCTTCTTCTCGACGAACTCCTCTGGGAGGCGTGTCGGCCAACGATGCCGTTGCCCCGGCAAGGCTTGCCGACGGCGGCGCGGGAGTACCGGGGTTGGCGAGCCCCGGGGTCGGTGATGATGACGGGCGAGCGGCTAGAGTAGTAGCAGCGGACGCCGGGCCCGGTGGCGGGGGTAACCAGTGGGGGGACAGGGAAGGGGATGCGGTTTGGTTGAGAGAGGCGGAGGCGCTGCTTTCCAAGGGACACCAGGATATGGGGTTTTAACGAGTGTATTTGTCAGAAAGTGGGGTACATGATTAGGATGGGCAAATGCAGCTTGCTTCGGGCAACCGTGCTGGCCCTGTACCCCACTTGCTCGAGAGCTCGGTAGCTTTTTGTGATATTACTGGTGGTGTAGGAGTGCACCGTCGTTGGGAGCGGGTGTTACGTCGACCTCAAGTGGGGTTTTGTTCGTTGTATTGACAAGTTTAGGAGCGACGGCGGGGGGTTGTGTATGATGGCGAAGTGGCAAGGAAGGTGTGGGTGGCACGGGATGTGGACAAGGTAAATGCATATCCAGTAGCCAAGCGGTTCATGTTCTTGGGAGAAGCAATCTAGCCCACTTAGATGGGGACGAGAAGATGAGATATGACGCAGGCACTTCAACCTCATCATAGATCCCTGTGAAACGAATTTGCACCCGATCCATCATGTGAGAGGGGCAGAAGCTACTTTATAATCGTTCAACATGGAGTGGATTCGAGACCGACACTTCACCGAGATAACACGAGGCCTACAACACAGTTTTGGTTGGTCTGTTTTCCCAGGGTCGTCCAAGGATGTAGACAAGACCCTGTATTTCCAATGCAAATTATTGTGTGTTAAGTTACGCAGGAGGGCACGTGGATTGCAATCCCCCGCACCTATGCCACCCCCCCCCCCCCCCCCCCCCCCCCCCCCCCCCCCCCCCCCCC